GCATTTCTTTATTTGGCTGGGACTAGGACCTAGAGTAAGTGCTCTATTCCTAACGGTACTCACAAGCCTGCCTCTTTTCCTGATAGTGCCATTCATTTCTTTTAAGCCAGTACCTGTCCTGTTTGCTTCAGACTGCCTTTTATACCTTGACCAACATTAACTTCCAGTTTTATTTCTTCGACAGGCCTCAGCAACATGGCATTCCTTACTTCTTGCTCACGAAAGCTTGGTTTGCCTTATACAGTTGGATGTGTTCAACATTATATTTATTCCATGATCTAAAAATCTGTAAAACCAGAGGGAGTAGGTCAGTAGTATTTTGGCTTCTAGGGCTTTGGAATTCCTAGTCCCTTGAAGAGCTCTGAAGAGCTGTGGCAACCATCCTCCTGGTGACTCACTGCACTGCTGCACCCACTGGCCTGTCGAGCACAGGCTGGGAATGAGACTGGAGCAAGAATCGTCTACCGGCTTGTGTATGGATGGCCTGGGAAAGTAACTGAGACTGTGTGCACCGCTGCTTCCGAAGACTGTCCGAGTCTAGCCGATTTTTACTATTAAAGACATTTCAGCTCCAAACCCAAGACCTTGCTTCCGACGTAGCAGAATTCTGCAGAGAGGACATAAAACATGACCAAAGTCCTGGTCCACAGGGCGCTGCTCCCATTTATAACTTCAACCTGTTGTTCTCCAAATACAGTCTCCGTCAGAAGAATGGCGTGACACAAGGCTCACAGAAAACATACGAGTTCACGCGTGCAGGCACACGTGGAGGAGGGGGATGTCTTTAACAGGGTGACGCTTCTTCATTTTCTAACATAAAACAGCCCACATTTTAGCATATTTATTTCATTCCAGAAAAGCTCAGGAACTAAGTACACTGATGCATTTGGAGCGCATTTTCACGCGAGAAACATGCCAAAAGGCTATTTTTCACACAACACTTAACAGTACTGAAATTGTCCTGTGGTTATTAGAAAAAGTTGTGTTTGATTATATAAAACAGGTCCAATATTTGTATAGAATGTGAATAAATTCTCAACTTTCTATATGTAAAAACAACTCATTCAAAGTTTGATTAAGATGTAGTTCTAGTTTTTCAACCAGCTTTGTTTTTTGTGCCAAGTTTAAGATCAGAGACTCAAGTGACTTGCTCAAGGTCATCTGGTCATGTCGGGTGGGATTAGAATTACTGGTTCCTGCGGTCCAAAAGCCAGCCATAAATCAAACTTTCCTTGGAACTAAGCAGGCCAAAAGGGAGAAAACACTCCACATGTCCTTTCCTCAATAATCAACAGACAAAAGAAAAATTGGTTTAAGTGACAGAACTACAATTACTAAAATTTAAACAATGCATAGCATATTCCCTCTAACCAACGCACAGGCACCTCTCTCAAAATTGGCAACGTCTAACAATTTGCAAAGGTCAATAACCTATACACGAGCTTCCCATATGATGGCATCATAAACTAATTAAGATGTTTAAAAATCAGCACTTCATATACACATCAATAAATTGTTCATTTATCTTCTAAAAGACCTGATAAGACTAGATTATGAAAGTACTCTGAGTTCTTAGGTCTTTTTCATAAAAGGTAAAGGATCATAAACACGTTCAAAGATTTCTTCAGACTCCTAAAAGGAACAGGGTCATTTCATCAGTGCAGGCAAAATAATTAATTAGATAAACAAGAATGACTTAAGCCATGGGGACAGACAGGACTAGAGAAAAGAGGAATTTTTATCGCCATTTTGCCCTCCTCTTCCTTTTTCAAATCTACCACTTCCATCACACTTTCTGCCTCATCCTTTTCATTTCTTTTAAACTGCTGATATAAAATATTACTTCTTAATTAACAACAACAACAACAACAAAAAACAATGTCCAATGAAGGCATATCTAAAAAAATACTAATTGGTTCGGGATGGAGATAGTAAAGTAGCTAAAAGTACTTTGTATTCGTTACAAACTCACTCTAGTCATATTTAGTAATTTTCCTCACCTTCAATTTCCTTGGTCAAACAGTACCATCTCCCCATTTCAGGTGACCCCTCAAGTCCAGGGAAATTTCCCTTTTGCTCTGAAACTGTGAGTCACTGACATTAGAACTGGCATTAGACAGCAAAAGCACTAAGTTAATGGCTAGGCTGAAATTGTGGCTGGGTTATACTATAACCAACATGATTTTTCTCCTCTCAAATTCAAGCCTACCTATTTCTGAATGCAGTTGTAACACCCTCTTGGAGTGATGCCTTCTCTTTAGCCCTTGAGCAAAATGTGGCCACAGGGTATACAAAGCAAATCAAAAGGAAGGCTGGAAAAAAATTAAACCTGGAAGAAAATATAAGTCTGACACTTTTCGTTATGCCAGAAAATAATTGTCATTACTTGGAAATGTATCAGGTTGCGCCATACCAAACTGCCATGATATACAACTGTCTTTGCTCTGCAGAAACAGCAATTTCATGTGGTTTGACCTGATGTTATTTTCTAAGCTCATGTTAATGATTATCCCAAATAAGGTTTTCATATCCCAAAGCACGTAAAACCTTCTAGTTTTCTAGACTGCTTTCGCCTTTTGGAAAGGCGCACCACGCAACTGTCCAAACCCGGTCACTTGAAAAAGTAACCTCATTAACAGGAAAGCCAAGTCAAACTACCCAACTGGCTGAGGGTAACCACCTTGCATCCTTTTTCCAGCTTCCCCTTTCCCACTAACAGATCTGCCTTTTAGAAGACTTATATTTAAGGAGATACAGTGAAAATTTTCAGTGCTTTGCAGCCTTCTCAGTGATCAGTGGCATGGGAATCTAAGCATGGTAGAAGCCCATCACTGTTCACCGGGTTCCACTGACCTCCAAATCTACCGTTGAGGAGTTTTAACTAAGTTGATAACTTCCACTTCTGTTGGAGGATCTGGCTTCTAATCCTTCTAATCAAAAGGGTGGTTACCAACTCAGTGGGATGTATTTTTCCATTCAGATATGGCTGACATGCACCCACAGGAGACACAGCCTGTCACTTTCACAAAAGGGGTTATGGCTGCAAGACTGCCTTGAGGTCCGAATCCATCCTTTCACACCCATTCATTTAATCAGTCTAATATCCAGTATGCGAACAAACTCTTCTTAATGAATTTTACTAATTACTCAACCTGTTCTTCTTCTGCCAAAATTCCTATCTACTGATCCGTCATGCCATATACTCTGGCTTCCTAGGGGGATACTCCCTAAGACACCTTGAAAACTGTTAGGGCCATCTGATGTTGCCTGTTCTATCTTCCTAGACCTAGTTTATAGTACAAACCATCAATATTAAGCACCAAGTGAAATGTGCTCTAAAAAAAAATCAGGAGACAGTCTCCTGCTCTATCTAGAAATTTCTCTATTCAGCTAGTTCAATGTTGACAGGTCAACAGAGAATGGCACTAGTCACCACTACAGTCCTGATGGGTATCTCCCTGGAGTTAAACCATCAGTCTTTCTGTAACACACAAATAATCCAGACTTTTTCTAGCAGGACTTACTCTCCTTGGCTCATCCCCTGATCATTTTTCACCCTAAACTGAGCTTTTCTCTAGAGCCCCATTGTGAAGCCAAGTCAGGCAAATACATTCCTGAAACCCTCCATCTACTACTCTCTTTCCTCTAAAGTTTTTTTCTTTAATGAAAACTATGTGTCAAGTACAGTGACAAGTGCTTTAAAAGGGAATGTATCTACTTCCACCCTTCAAACCGTTTGAGGTTACAACAGCACCCCATTGTACAGAGGAGAAAAGCTGAGGTTGAACAACTACCCAAGGTCATACAGGGCAGGGATTCAAACCAAGCCTGACCTCACTATCCTCTGACCTTAGCCCCCATATGCTGTGGTTCCTTCTAATCGCTCTTCCTGTCTTAGATGACTGTCTGCTCTGTAGTCCTAGGAAGACCTGGAGAGGGTTCCCTTTCTTCAGTGGCTCTTTAAAGGACATGCCTTTGAGAAGCAGAAGTACCCATTCCATCTTTTCTCCCCCTTCTCACCTGACATCTTTCCCCCCGGGGCCCTTATCATATTCCTCCTCTGGGGCCGATTTGAATGTTCTCTCTGACACGAGTGGGCACCACGGACTACCGAAAGGCCACCTTCTCCCCTGAGTCTAGGAAAGGGCTGGAGTGGACCAAGAGGGAAGAGCGCAGTCAGCACCTGAAGTCTTCCTTCCTTCAAGAGGAAACTGTGGCGGAGGACCGCAGGAGGGTGGTTGGAGACGCGGGGGAGGCAGTAACGTCTGGGGAGAGGGTGACTAGGGAGTGTCCTTGGGGGCCGGCGGGGGTGGGGCAGAGCGGGGGGGGGAAGGTAGGGACGCCCCGGGGTTAGCCGCTGGAATGGGGAGGGGTGCCCCTGGGCGGCGAGGGAGAGAACGTGGGTGTCGGGGAGGACCTGGAGGTGGATGTCACCGGGGAAAGTGGAGGGAAGAAAGTGCTGGGAGGATGAGCAGGAAACGGTGGAGTCACCGGGGAGGCGCGAGGGGAAGGATGGATGGCCACGGGGAAGGCGGGGCGCCTCCAGACCCGGGCGCGGGGTCTCTTCGCTCCGCAAGGAACGGCGGGCGGGCCATTCGGGGTGCACGGAATGCCGGGAACAGGGGCTCGAGGCGACCCCGGGGAAGGAGCGGGAGCTCTGGAGCCGAGAAGCGGGAAGTGCGGGTTCTAGGGCGGTCTGGGCGGGAAAGGGGGAGCCCGGGCATGAAAGAGGGGTGTGTGGAAGCACGCTGCGTTCGCCAGAAGCTGGGGTTAGGAAGGCAGGGGGCTGGCGGACAGGCTGGGGGCGGCGAGGGGGAGTTCCAGAGCCCGTCGGGGCGGGAATGCTCCGGCGTCTCCCGAGGATCAGGCCGGGGTACCCGTAGTTTTCTGGCCGGGTTCGGGGTCGCCTCTGGGCCGGGGTCCCCGCGGGGCGAGGCGGGGCTTCCCCGGGCCCCTCGAGGCCAGGGCAGCACCTTCCGGGTCCCATGCCCCCTTCTTACCTATACCGGGAGCCACATAGACGAAGTAGAGCAGCGAGGACGAGAGCGAGAAGAAGAAGAGCGCGGCGATCAGCGAGCGGCGCGGCAGCCGCAGCAGCCCCCGGCGGACGCGCATGCTGCAGCCGGGGGACCGCTCGTGGGCCGGGCCGGGCCTGCTCCCACCGCTTCCCGTCCGCCGCCTCCTAGGCCTCCTCCGCCGCCTGGGCCTCGGCCACCACCTCCCGGGTCTCGCCGGCCGCCGCTGGCCGCCGCCTTGCCGCTCCCAGCCGCCGGCCGCCGCGGGCCGGGACACATGAAGCGGGCGGGGGCCGGAGCGGCCCGGAGGAGCTGAGCGGCGGGAGCGGGGCGGGCGGCTGGGGGCGGGGCGCGCGGCTGGGGGCGGGGCGAGGGGGCGGGGCCTGGGCCGCCGGGCACCATCGTCAAAGACCCGCGCGCGCGCGCGCGCGCGCTCGCCGACCGGCCCCCGCCGCTGCCTGGCGGCCCGAAGGGAACGTCGCCAAATGGCGACAGCCCCTCTCACGGCGCGGCCACCGCCCAGGCTTTGGGGGAGCGTCGTTCAAGTAGCCGTCGGCCCCGCGCCTCGCACCCCCAGTCCGGGAGCCAAGGGACCGTCTGCAATGTCTGAAGCTGCTGGTCGCCAAGTGCGGTGGAAGATCTGGGGTGGTAGGCAATGCAGCTCGGTATACGCCTTCATTCATTCTCCCATTCACTCATTCGCTCAGTTCACTATTTATGGAACACCCGACGTAGGCCAGACACCGTTCTTGACCGTGGGGAGGCTACCAAGAACAGAACAAAATCTGTGTTTTCTTGGCATTTATGTTCAAACGGGAGGAGAAAACGAAACAGATCGATTCATCATATCAAGTACTGATAAGTGATATGAACACAATAAAACCGGAGAACCTGTGGAGGAAGCCAGGGGGGTCAAGGAAAGCCTCGCTGAGCCGGGGACAAGAACAGAGGCATAAAAGGGTGACTAGCAGGTGCAAAGGCCTGAGGTTAAAAAGCCTGATCTGTCCCCAGGTTGACCCCAGTAAGACAGGGGGAGCAGCAGGGATGAGGTTGCAGGGTCTACATCCCACAGCGAATCATAAGGAATGTAATGATAACAGTTATCAATGTGAAGACCTGTGTTGAGAGATACTGGGTTTTATTTATCTCTTTACATCCCCCCAACATTCCTGAGATATGTGCTTTTATTATTATTGTTTTTTTTTTAAGAAGAAGAAACAGGTTCCTAGAGGGAGAAGCAATTCACCTAAGTCCTGGAATAAGGGTGAGGGCTCAGATGACAACTGACCTGTCTCCTAAGGGAGACCCTTGAGCACTAGGTTGTAAATGCCTCAGCATTCCATCTGGCCCCTAATTCTCATCCTGCAGGCAAATTGGTATCCTCTTGCACAGGATAGTGTGAGACCGTATTCAAAACACCCAGCTTTACAATGAGCCTCAGGCCAGAGGATCTCCAAAGGCAGTGCTTGGTCTCCCCCCAGGACCAGTAGAACCAGCCCCAGCTTCAAGAAGCTGCCAGCTGAAATGAGGAGGCAAGTGTCCCCTGCAAAGACACATCTGAATGTGGGGGCATTATCTTTGGATGTCAGAAGAAGTCAGGAGGAGAGAGGATTTTGCAGGGATTCAGTGAGAACCAACAATAATCCTGTTTTATGTTCCTAAAGTTGACTTACACTTTTCACAGTATTTTTTTCGTCCTTTATGTGAGAGCTCTAGAACCAAACTACCCAGGTCACTTGACCTTCCCAGGTCACCTGAGTGATGTTAGGCAGGTCACTTAACCTCTCTGTGCCTGTTAATAACATGGGGGATGTTATTAGTAACAACTGCATCATCGGTGGGTGTGAGGATTTGAGTGATACATGCAAAGCCTGGCTGGCGCACATAGTAAATGCACACAACTCTCATCAGCTCCAACAGACCTGGGAAATGAGGTGGGAGAGAGGAGGCTTAAACATCAGAAAAAATAAGCGGAGAATTTTGACTCAGATGGATGTGGGCTCAAATCTTGGCTTGGCTTCAGCTAGCTGTGTGACCTTGAGTAAATAACCTACCCCTCTGAGCTTCTATTTTTGTTATCTGGGAAATGATGTGGAATAAGCAAGAGAGCGGAAGAGATACCCTGGACCAGAAATCCTCCAGAGCTGAAATGAGCTGACGTGAACTACTCTTTGTCTGGCCCACACTATGGCCTCTCTCCTACCATGTCTTCAGTCAACGATTTCAAACATACAGGAAACTTGAACCATTAGTACAAAGCACGCTCTCCATATGGAGTCAACAATTGGTATCACTTTGCCAGATGTATCTGTCGATGTTCATAGGTACAATCTTTTTCTGAATTATTTAAAAGGAGTGGCTGCCTTACTGGTACTTAATGTCTTAATACTTCAGCAAAAATCCTAAGAAAAATTGCATTCTCCTAGATAAACACAATAATATCATCACACCTAAGAAAATGAACAATCATGCCATAATATCCTATAATACATGTTTCATTTCCAAATTTCCCCATTCGTTAAAAAAATTGCTTTATAGCTGTTTAACTTTCAACAGTATCAAATCAAGGTTTACACATTACATTTGGAATTATTTCTAGTATTTATTTATCTACAGCACTACCTCTGCCTTTTTTTTTTTTTTCATATTTCCCCCCAGCACCTTATTTAAAACATTTTGTTAAAGGTTTTATTTATTTATTTTTAGAGACGGGAGGGGAAAGAGAGGTAGACATCCATGTGTGGTCCTACTGGGGACCTGGCCCACAACCCAGGCGTGTGCCCTAGACTGGGAATCAAACCACTGACCCTTTGGTTCTCAAGCTGGCACTCAATCCACTGAGCCACACCAGCCAGGGCTATTTAAAATATTTTTAAATCTACGGGGAAGTTGCAAGAAAGGTATAATGAACACCCATCCACCACCACATGATGTTGCTCTGCCTAAATGAACTAGTACTGGCTCGATCGGGCTTCCTTGTGGAAAGAGGAAGACTCTTCACTGCTCCTTCACACCTTCCACAAAATCAATTCAAGGTGAATTGTAACTCTTAATGTAAACCATAGGACAATCAAAGCTTTCAGATGAAAACATACAAGAATGTCATATATCCTTGGAACAGGCAAAGAGTTGTCAGAGGACACACCAACCAAAGAGAAAGCTTTGACATGTTGGGCTACATTCAAATAAGAAATTCTCTTCACCAAAAGACATCATTAAGGGGGGGAATAGGCTGCATGGTGAGATAAGAAATAGAAGTATATAGAGCTGATAAAGAACTCACATCCAAAATAATAAAGAGCAACAATCCAATAAGAAAAAAAACAAGCAGAAGACACAGATATGCGTCTCATAAAAGAACATATCCGAGTAGCCAATATGCATATGAAAAGATGCCACGTCTTTTGAAAAATGTAAGTGGAAACCGCACTGCAATACTGTCCGTGAGTGGCTGGTTGGGAGGAGGAGAGCAAGCACTGCGGGCTGAGCCTTGAGGAGGCCCAACTTTGCATAGCACAGCGGACAGGGCGACTCTGCCAGGAATACAGAGGGGTAGGAGGTTGGGTGTTCTGGAAGTAGAGGCAAGAGATGCTTCTCATGAATAGGCCAAAGGTTCCAGGCACCCTCCTTGAGAAAGCCATTGCACAAAAGCCCGTTGCACAACCTACAAACACTAATCCTCAGTCATGTGATAACATCACAGGGCAATGACTATCTTAGTTCCAAATGCCAGAGGCAGTCAGCAGATAAGGATCGTTGACTTGAGCATAACTGCTCTCCAGGTCCCAGGAGCTTTAGTACTGAGAGCTTCCAGTAAGTACCAGGAGTGCTGGCTGACTCTGCACTGACGGTGAGGTTCACCCTGGTTACCTCCAGCCAGGCAGTGGTTCAGAGGAAACTGAGGCTCAGAGCAGAAGGGACAGGCATTGCTTCCTGCTGGCAGCTTTAAAACCCAGTGGGTCCTGTTTTTTCCTACCACAATAGCCATCAGTTTTCTGCAGAGCAGCTGTCTCCACCTTAGGGCTCCACCACGAGGAGGAAACTCCCCCAACCCACCTGGCCAGTGATGAACATGAGGCGTGAGCCAGAACTAAAACTCTGTTTTAAGCCTCTGAGATAGAGGGGCTGCTTGTCACTACTGACTGATCACCAATAGATTCTTCTGCAACTTGCTTTCTCTCGACATTGTTTTTATTTTTATTTTATTATTATTTTTAAAGATTTTGTTTATTTATCTTTAGAGGGGAAGGGAGGGAGAGAAATGTCAACATATGGTTGCCTCTTGTGTCCCCTGCTGGGAACTGGCCTGCAGCCCAGGCATGTGCCCTGCCTGGGAATCAAACCTCCATCCTTTGGTTCACAGGCCCATGCTCGATCCACTGAGCTACACCAGCCAGGGCTTCAACATTGTTTTTATAAGATATATATCCACAATGAAACCTGTAGCTTGAGTTTATTCATTTTCCCTGCCGTGTAGTATGTCATCATATAATTAGGCCACACTTTTTAAAGGCGTTTTTTCCCTGATGATGTCTGGTTAGGTTGTATTCAATATTTTGCTACTACTGATGCCTAGATCCTTAGACACAATTCAAAGTCTAAAAAATCTGGAACCTAGTTCTTTCATAATTTACTTGGCAGCAAGACCTGACCTGACCTGAACTTCTTTAGTGGCAAAACCAGACTCCAGCAGACAGAAAGCTACCTATAATCTTTATCTTACTTAATAGTAGTGTGCTTATGCTCCACTGAGAAACATTTAGATGTTTTACTTACAGGGTGACCCATCGCTCTCAAGGAGTGCTTTGTACATATTCAGTGCGTGCACCATATAACCTTCAAAATTCCGAGATTTTTCTAAAGTTCAAAACACTTCGAACCCCAGGGGGTTTGGATAAGGGATGGTGGCCCGGCACAAACACCACTGCAAGGAACACCTGTGACAGAATCTGTTCCCAAGATGGCCTCATCCACATCGCCCACTTCTGTGCTCCTCCAGAACTTTCTTTAATTCCCCTCCCTTTGAATCTGGGTGGGATTGTGGATCACTTACAGCCAAAAAGAGAAGAGGAGGTGAGGCTACGCAAGTTCTGAGGTAGTGCAGCTTCTGACCTGGTGGTGGCGGGCCCTTGGCCACCATGCTGTGAGGGAGCCCAGGTGCTCAGCGGAGGTCCCAGCTGACAGCCAGCCTCAACCACCAGACGAGTAAGAGAACAAACCTTCAGATATTCCGGCCCCCAACTGCCAAGTCACCCTCGACCTTCAAGTCTCCACAGCGGAAGCTCCAGAAAGCTGTCTCCACTATGCCCTTTTCAAATCTATGACCATGG